GGGGGGCGGGGGGGGGCGGGGGGGGGGCTGGGGGGGCCCCCCCTGCCCGCCGAGGCGGCCGCGGCCCGGGCCGAGCTGCACGCCGGGCTGGCGCTGTGCCAGCTGCGCCTGGGCCTGCCCGCCCCCGCCGCCGCCAACGCCGGCAAGGCCCTGGCGCTCCGGCCCCACCACCTGGAGGCCCGGTTCCGCCGCGCCGTGGCCGCCGCCGCCATGGCCGACCTGGAGGCCGCCATGGCCGACCTGGCCGACGTGCTGAGGGCCCAGCCCGGGCACGCGGGCGCCCGCCGGGAGCTGCGCAGGGTCAGGGGGGCCGCGCGCGAGAGGGACGCCCGCCTGGCCAGGAGGCTCGGCAGGCTCTTCGCATGACTTGGGGGGGGGATTGGGGGTCCTGGGGGGTCGTTAAGGGGTGTTCTCGCAAATGAGATGCTGATCGGGGGGCGTGGCCTCCAGTTTAGCTCCGCCCCGCCGGTTAATAAAGAGTCTTTTGATGAGAAATGAGTTTTGGGGCTCATTAGGGGTCATTGGGGGTCGTTACTGGTCATTAGGGGTCATTAAGAGATGCTCTTGCAAATGAGATGCTGATTTGGGGCGTGGCCTCGAGTTAAGCTCCGCCCCGCCAGTTAATAAAAAGTCTTTTGATGAGAAATGAGTTTTGGGGTCATTGGGGGTCATTGGGGGTCATTACTGGTCATTAGGAGTCATTAAGGGATGGTCTTGCAAATGAGATACGGATTTGGGGGCGTGGCCTCGATTTAAGCTCCGCCCCGCCGGTTAATAAAGAGTCTTTTGATGAGAAATGAGTTTTGGGGGTCGCTGGGGGTCATTAGGGGTCATCAGGGGTCATTAAGGGATGCTCTTCCAAATGAGATGCTGATCAGGGGCGTGGCCTCCAGTTAAGCTCCGCCCCGCCGGTTAATAAAGAGCCTTTTGATGAGAAATGTGTTTTGGGGTCATTGGGGGTCATTACTGGTCGTTAGGGGTCATTAAGGGGTGTTCTTCCAAATGAGATGGTGATTGGGGGGCGTGGCCTCGAGTTAAGCTCTGCCCCGCCGGTTAATAAAGAATCTTTTTATGACAAATGAGTTTTGGGGGTTGCTGGGGGTCATTAGTGGTCATTAGGGGTCGTTAAGGGATGTTCTTGCAAATGAGATGCTGATTTGGGGCGTGGCCTCGAGTTAAGCTCCGCCCCTCCGGTTAATAAAGAGTCTTTTGATGAGAAACGAGTTTTGGGGCTCATTAGGGGTCATTGCGGGTCATTAGTGGTCATTAGGGGTCGTTAAGGGACGTTCTTGAAAATGAGATGCTGATCAGGGGGCGTGGCCTCCAGTTTAGCTCCGCCCCGCCGGTTAATAAAGAGTCTTTTGATGAGAAATGTGTTTTGGGGGTCACGAGGGGTCATTAGGGGTCGTTAGGGGTCGTTAGGGGTCATTAAGGGCTGCTCTTCCAAATGAGATGCTGATTGGGGGGCGTGGCCTCGAGTTAAGCTCCGCCCCGCCGGTTAATAAAGAGTCTTTTGATGAGAAATGAGTTTTGGGGGTCGCTGGGGGTCAGTAGAGGTCATTAGTGGTCATTAGTGGTTATTAGGGGTCATTATGGGATGCTCTTGCAAATGAGATGCGGGTTGGGGGGCGTGGCCTCGATTTAAGCTCCGCCCCCCATTTATAAAGAGTCTTTTAATGAGAAATGAGTTTTGGGGGTCATTAGGAGTCCTTAGAGGGTCATTAGTGGTCATTAGGGGTCATTAGTGGTCATTAGGGGTCATTAACGGATGTTCTTCCAAATGAGATGGTGACTGGGGGCGTGGCCTCGAGTTAAGCTCCGCCCCCTGTTAATAAAGACTCTTTTAATGAGAAACGAGTTCTCGGGGGGGGGAGGGGGATGTCGTCGCCATGGAGACCTG